GTGGTATCTGTAGAAAGAATACATAAAAAATTCAGCTATCTACAACTGGCGGGGGGGGGGGGGGAATTACGCAATGATGGAAGACAATAACCGGGGTTTAAGCCAGTGATGATGTTGTTGGAAGCAGAGTGCTGAGACTTGGCAGAGACCACTGAGCCAACGCATGGAGTGTATTAGCTCAAGTACAGGCTAGGATTCTTAAGATGAGTCTTAATTACACCCATGTTAAGTTAATTGGGAAAATATCCAGAGAAAAATGTCTATTTATAACGTCTGGTAGGGGTTTGTCAACAGGAGTGAGAGTCTCCATCATTAGCTTCGTCGTGTATTCACATTAAGAAACTGCGTGGATGAACTTGTGTCCACTCATTTGGTGTAAACAGTGCAAATGGCTCTAGATGTGGATTCTTGTGCACGGGCAGTAATATTAGAAGAAACATCACATCATTTTATTCGATATCAGACGTTGTCAACATATCTTGGAATTTTATCCCTGTTCTGGACTTTTCCTGAAGTCATCACTTTCACCTACAGTAATACATCTGTTTGGTAATTATTTGCTGTGGGACTCCCAGTTAGCTCAGTAAATCAAGGAAAATTCAGGGAAAATAGAAAACTAGGGTTGTCCTTATTACTGTCAATTAGATTGGAAAAGTATGCTGACCATAGAGAGTTAGTTTTTTTTAATTCAACTTGGCTGCCTTTCCAGGCAAAATGCAATACCTCTAATTTACCAGAGGGCCATTTGTGTTCTAATCTTTTGGAAGGCGATTTTAAGGTCATTATCCTGTTGGGTATACTTCATATGCTTAACAAGTTTCTTGTTAGTGATGCAATAATATTCATCACGAAGCTGAGAGTGCCGGCTAATTCACTTGTTAGTCGGCTTGAATTCGGCCAGCATCATGCCTGATGAAATATTACACCAAGTGAGAACTTTCAAGGCAAATTCATCCATCTATCCATTCCATTGTCTATCCGCTTACCATGGTGAGACTGTCACGCGGAGCCAGGAGCTTAACTCTGGCAGCATTGTGCACACGGCTGGGGTAAGTTTAAATTTTGTTTAGTAGAAGGTTTTATCCAAAGCAATGTTCATTTGAGAAAGAAACGTCAGACAGTCCCTGGAGCATTTAGGGGATAGAGGATTAGATCAAGGGCCCAGCAGTGACATCACTCACCAACCACGAGATTTTAACTGGCGACCAACCATGGGCACTGAATCCTAACCCACTGAGTAGCTCACTGCCCCCTGTACTCCCTGGATTGGGTCTGTTCAGTGCAAACGCAGCAGAAAAAGTATCTGTAAGCATTATGGCTTTAGCAAAGGCATAAATCTGCAGCCAAAATACTTACAGACATACAGGACATACTTACAGAACAAGATGGTTGCGTTTCCTGAGCAATTAGAAAACAGTGTGACTGAATAGAATTACACAACTCTGAGCACTGATCCGGCGTTATTACGAAAACGCGTAGGGTGCAATTCATTTCGAAACAAAGCCAGCAATGAATTTCAAGAACATTTGTAAAGTCGTCTCTTCCATATTTGTTTTTAAAAATCCTATAATAATCCCATTAGTGGTGACACCAAATCTTGGAGGAAGGGATGGGATTTGTTACCCACTAAGCCTGAAGATGGGGTAGGGGTCCATTCAATAGTACAGTTCCAGACATGTGTCTCTAGATGTTAGTATAGTTGCCTGTTGTGTGAGAATCCACCAGTTATTAGAGAGTTCATAAAGCTCAGCAGGTGTGTTACTGAGTGGAGAACGTCAGGTTGGAGCATGAATGGGGGTCACACGGGCTCCTCTGAGCCACGACTCCTAAAGACCGTAACAAACGCCCTTGGCTATGAAGACTCTACTGGAGACGCTCAAGGGGTCAGACTAAGGGGACCCCCCCCAAAATGGTTGGTTAAGAGTCTGTTACCAATGTTTTCTTGAATTAGATTTGTGTTGTTTGATTTCCTGTTCACTAATGATATAGTGGGTTTGGTTCATTTTATTGTAACCAGAGACAGCAGAAATGGGGGAAAATCGATATTGCATAACAACTACAAACTATGAGAACGCTATCACACAGGATGCAGGGCTCCAAATATATTAATAAGCATGGTCAGTTCAGTGGAAATCCAAATTATCATGCATTCTTTGGGGTCATTGGGTCATATGTCTTGGTAAAAAATAAAAAAAACATAAATGAGATGAAAAACAGTCGGGTTCATGCTCACCCAATAGCAAGACGGTATTTCCTTTCATATCTCTCCTCAAAATCAGACATAACCGGTCATCTCTGTGTCCCTTTTTATCTCGTTGTGGCCAATCGTTTATGAATACAAGTCAGATGTGTGATTTTGTTGCCTTTGTTTACCTCAAAGCACCCACCTGTGTTGCATCTGACCTGCCTGAAATAAAATGTTTCCCTCTGTGTCAGAAAGGGGGACAGTGACCCTAGCGGTCTAGGACCATAAATTACATGGTTCGGCAAGCAACAGGGAACAGGCATAATAGCTGATAAAAGTGTGCTTCAGGTGAAAAAACAGACAGGCCTGTTGAGCAGTCCATCACTGTAACTGTCCTTTTAGACGCCCATGTGATAATACAGCAGGTCAGTTTCTCTCTGGGGCGTATACGCTCTGTAGGGTTTACGTCCGCCTAGATAAATGGCTTTGACCGAGGCACGCTGCCTCATCGCTGACGGTTTATGCCACCTATTAATCGGAGCTTGATCCCTGATTGGCCTTGGATCAGGAGGCAGATGGAGCAGCGATTTGATTTTGTAGCAGTAGCTTTTTAAACAGCCAGCCAGGCACGCAGACGGCTGCCCAAAGCCGCAGCTGGCTTCCACGCACGCCAGCGTTTGTTCACCCCGTGTTGCTGGCCTGGAGACACCGTCACCCAACGATCACCCCAGGACGATGTTCAGACCACCACGGAGGCCGTATCAACATCCCCAGCCTCACCCCTTTCGAAATGCACTCACACGCTTTGCTGCTTTGCAGAGCACAGCCAATGCTAATTGTTTGGTTCCAAGGGTCCCAGATGGCGAAGGGAGGAAAAAAAAATGTATAATGTTGAATAAAAACATGAAAAAGGAAAGTAATGAGACGGTTCAAGCACTCGTAACAGCAGTAGTGTTTACTGAAGAGGGGGGTGTGTTTGCTATTATATAACGGGATGCGGCATGTGCCCGTCTGTTCAAATGATTGGCAAATGTACAGGATCTCGCAGTTGGGCCGACGCGGGCGTTTGTCCGTGACCCGCGCCTGATGGATGTCGTTCCAAATGGGCAGAAAGGAAGCAGTCAAGCGCATCCGGCAACCCGTGCTGGCACCGATCCCGTTATCCTTAACGTTCACGCAGCCGGCGGGTGAGGACGGGAGGAGAATTAATTGAAGTCCCCAGGTTGTCGGCATCCTTGTTTAGCTTTCCTCCATTCATTCATCTGTGTTTTGCCTTTCCAAAGAACTGTGTCACCTGCCAAGTTTGTTTTCGATAGTTTCTTTAGTATTTACGCTAAAAGTCATTGGGTTAAGTTCAGACAGCTGGACACTGGAGCTCAAGGGACTCAGGTCCAAAACTGCATGGACCAGACCAGTGGCATGTAGAGTGTTAGGGGAGGATGACTGTTGAACTTGGTCAATTGTTTGAAGAAATATAGTAATGTTCATAACTTAGATTCCACGAAATTCCACTGATGTTTAGCAAACTAGTATACAGTAGCTTCATTTTCACATTGTTTACCTTTCCCTAATTTTTACACATTTGATAAAAATATAAATGAAGAAATGTAGCAATTGTCCCTGAAGAGGAAGTGAAATGATCATCAGTTTCCTCGGTGGGGGGGCCTCCAATGTAAAGCTTTGCCTAAGACCCCTAAAAACGTAGAGTCGCCTTACCGGCTAGCAGGAATTAGCAACTTCTGTCTTATAATGCACCACAGCTTCTTTGCCGTTCTGTTTTATTGCCGATCCCTTTAATGATGGACATTCATCTGCGTCTTCACAGTTCACAACAGCCTGCTCACCCAGCATGTACGCGGAGTGCAAGGAATTGATGTTTGCGGCAAACCACACAGATCAACATTCAGCTAAAGTGTGAGGCGCTTCACGGTTCCCGATGGGGGAAAGTTTATGAAACAATTTCTCCATATAAATGTTTGTTCTATTATGCACTTTATTTTTACTCTTACGCCAAAAAGAATTTGTTTCCAGGATTATAAATAAAAAATGTGGTTCATTTTTATGTACTTACACTGTAAGAGGGGACACTCAATATTGTAGAACCATAACAATACTTCACAGATGCAGTATTTCCCTTTGTGCATCTATTATGGTGTAAAAACTTAACATTAAATATAAATCTAGCAGAAGCTGTTTTATAGCACATATGAGAAAGTATCTAGTGGTATAGGACAGGTTGTTTTTTACTTTGGAGGGTCTCAGAAGCTCGTAGGAGTTTAACTTACACAAGAACAAAAAATGATTGGTTCAGAGAGATAACCAATCAGATTGTAAAGGAGGTGGATTCAAGCAACTAGAGGAGGTGGGACCAAGATATCTGATTGGTTGGTCCTGCCTCCTCTAGTTGCTTGAATCCACCTCTTTTACAATCTGATTGGTTATCTCTCTGAACCAATCATTTTTCATTCTGCCCTCAGAACATTTTTGTGTAAGTAAAACTCCCATGAGCCTCAGGGAAGGATGTTGTGGTCAAATTTGCACAATGGAAAGATAATCACTTTCGCTTTAAATTTAAGGTTTGATAAATATTTAAAGTACCAGGGAAAATGAATTGTGTTTATGACCCCATCACCTGTCATTGTATAAATGATGGATTTTTTAATGTATATATAGTGACCAATTGCTTGTTCTGTTATATTTGTGTATGTTTTATGTCCTTAAAAATAAAGTATAAAAACAAATAAAATGTGCACATTGGGGCTTTGATTGTGTGGTTCTCTCAGTGGTTACTTTGTTTACCCGGATAAGAAAAGCAGAGATGTTGCAGTCGGGGTGATTGAAGGTGAATTGTGGGATGGATTCATCTGAGTGTCAGAACTGAGACTCCCACCCCCCCACCTGTTCCCACTCCCCTGGCAGGAAACCAGAGAGAACCTCCTCAGCCTTCTGATTTCCTGATATTACCATTCCCCATGAACAGAAATTCTTATGGTCCTGGCATTGCTGAACGTATGACGGACATGGAGACGCAGTCTTCAGATGTTCATCCATGCAAACTGGCGGGTTCTTCTCGTGGTGGCACAGGGAGCCATGGAATCTGCTGGGCAGCGCTGAGTGCGATCTCCGTACTCGCCACAGACCCGGATCTCCGCACGGGTGAGGTGCATCACACATTTTCTCTGGTACCTCCACAAAAACCATTTTTCTCCCACATGCGCCCTACTGAGAATCTAACCAAGGAACAATGCCTGGTTTTGTCCCGCTCTTATTGCATCTGCTGTTTACCACTGTTGTTTTTTGTTCTTTGCTTAATTTGCCCATCAGTCATGGCTCTTTTCTTTCTGGGACAGTGAAAGACTGATTTGTCAAGTACAGTTGACTGATTAATCACCCCTTGAGTGTCCTACATTACGACAGCATGCCTCGCTGTAATATGTCCGTTGCAGCTCCATGGCTGGGCCTTGCAGACAATTTCCAGCTGAGTCGCCCATCAGAGGGAAAAAGTACGACCGTCCTTAATTCTTCTGGACAGAAACAGCCTATAACGGCCGTGCCTGACAGTTTGGGAGCATTTTGATGGGTATGAAGCAGGGAAGGTTATCAATAACATCCCAGCTTGAGTAAAATAGAGAAGCAGAGGGAGTTGAATCGATGAATAGATCAAAAATGTAATGATCTGGAACCATATGACCGCCAGACATGGCTGAAAGCATTTTTTCCACCACATACAAATCACAACGTTGACAGGTGTTCGTCTCAAAGAGCATTTAGTTTTATTTGTGTGACCTAATAAATGACCTGAGAGGATGTGCTCTATGACAGTGTTTCCCAATCCAGTCTTTGAGTACTCAAAGTACTCAACTGGTTGGTTGAAACAAAATCCCAGTCTGGACTTTTACTCTCTAGACCTGAAATACCTATCTCTGTTCATGACTGACATTTATCTGTATCTTAGCAGTTCACAAGAACCTGCTCATCCCAGAGGTGCAAAAATTTCCAGGACTCAGGGTTTGCTGTTTGCGGGAAAGAAGACAGATCAACACCCGGCCATTCAGTCGAAGTGTGAACTCTTCCGACTGGGGTAAGTACTGTATATCAAACGATTTCTCCACATAAATGTTTGTACTATGATGTGCATTCTTCTTTACTCTTACTCCAAAAAAGAATTTGTTTAAAAAATCATGGATAAAAACAGCAGTTTATTTTTGCTCTGCACTGCTGTTTATGGTAGATCAGGGCATGGAGATGTTTCCAGACTATGAAAAGTCCGAGATGATTTGCACCAAATGTGTCGCAGTATTTGTGTCCGAGATGATCTCCACCAAATGTGTCGCAGTATCTGTGCCCTGTGTTCTTGGTGGTGCTGCCTCTCTTGGCGTTTTTGTGTGTCTTGTGCTGCCAGATGCTGGTTTAGATGCATTTAGCTTGGCTGGGCAATTATGTCGGCAAGAGGTACGTGAAAAGCAAGCTTTTCCCCATTTATTCCTGTAAGCTACAAATTGTTCTCATATAACAAAAGGTGTTAGAACAGAAAATAAATGCCATCATTTTGTTAAAGCGTGGGATAAAATATACTTATTATATATTATTGAGATACTTTTTTTGCTTTTATAGGAGTGTATAAAGATAATGCTAATACAGCATAAATTTTAGCTGTCTTTACTAATTTTGTAAATATATCTTTTCAGTATCTGGCATTATGTAAGATCCACTGGAATTGGTCATGCCCTTGAAATCACAGAGGTTTTTAATTAAAATCCGATACGAATGTAAATTTCCATTTATGTTAATGGCAGAGTAGAAAGGAATTAATTATTTCAATGTTTTATTCAGGGGTGAGACTTATCTTTATTCCCCTCCTATGAATAAAATATGTGGTGCAGGGCTCCTGAGAGTTTGGGGTGGGGTGGGGCTGCCATCAGTGGGGTCTACGGGAATCGAATCTCTCTGGCCAGTCGGGCTCTTTGGCTGTGACTTCCTATGCGGGAGGACAGAGATGAATGATAACAACAGGCCCTTTCCTATGACCGCCGGCAAAGGTCACAGGGAGGGGTCAAGCCATCACTCTGGGAGGGATGCGACATAAAGTTATCCTGTAGTGGCAGTTGGTACCAGCTGTGTATAGACACACACACACACACACACACACACACACACACACACACAAGGACATAACTTTGGACTAAGCTTTGGGGGGGTTAAGGTCTTCACCCATTTAAGGGAGTCCGAGGGGTTGTATTGGCTGGTTTTGATTATTAGGGGGTCACAACCCCTCCACCCCCCATAATTTGTGTGTGTGTGTGTGTGTGTGTGTGTGTGTATGTCCACATATACACAGACACACACCCTTGCAGGCCTATCTCTGTGTGTGCCTATGCATGCATGTTGTTCATATATTTGCTGATTCCAATGGGTGCCCTTCGTAAATCAGGCCAGTGCCAGTTTTCAGGCTTGACTGTTTCTGTTACTGACAGGAGGAAAAATCCTCACCGATGGTAGTTAGACGCAGCTTTATATGACAGGAGCAAAGAAGAGCTAAAACGTCAGTATCTGGTGATAGCAGCTAATGAACGGCCCTGCTTCAGTCAGCTTCTACCCAATTATCCCTGTCCAGGACATCGCGATGTTCTGGAAATTGGCAACAACCTCTTTTTCATTGAATTCCCTTTAATCTTATCGGATCTCCAAGATGCACTGTGTCCCGATGTTGTAAACAGGATCTCTATATGAGGGAGCCGAAGGCTAGAATGGACTTTGTTTATGTGGACTTTGTTTATGTATATCACTATGCTCCTCCCACAACCTCAAGGATCTCAAGAATCATCTGTGGAAATACTGTATCCATCTGCTGCTCCGATACGGTGCATTTGTGAATGATGAAAACTCATCTAGTAAATCCACAATGGGGAAAAACGTCGGTATGAAAATTCAAAGGATTGTGACACAGCCCTGATTACAGGATGATCAGTTCATCTTAATCCATCCATCCGTCTTCCAACAGCATACCTTCGTCAGACCCCATCCTAGGCAGCAAAGGGAACAAGGCTTGGGTATTGGGTACTTCTTCTTAATGCTTCCTGAAAATATACCTGAAAATCCCTCATTTTGTCTTTCATCCCTTGCCTAAATGGGAAAATATTCAGCTTGTTACGAGCGCAGTGCAGAGCTGGCCTCAGTCGGCTCAATGCATTCATTCATCAAAGGATGAAAACGACAAGGTCATATTGTGTGCCGCGTGCTAGTTTAAATCCAGCAGCGACAGACACTCTCTCCTTGTGCTCCGCGGTGCCAAGAAAGCTGCCATCAGAAAATTATTCAGGAATGTAAAGCAGTTCTTTGATTCTTAAAGGGATAAATCAACCCAAACTGAAGGCCTTCATTTAATGTCACGTGTATAAATAAATCCGGAAGAAAACAAACGTCTGCTTTTGGATGAAACCCCTGAATTTGTGGAGTTCTGGGCCCAGCTGTGTCCATGATGAATCGGCTGCCAAGAAACAAACGGGCCTGTGCCATTAAATCCGGAGACCCTGTAAATTCCATTTCTGGATCCATTAGGCGTCTGTAATTCCGCTGCCGTCCCTCCCCAGGCATCACGGTCGCCGTGACGTTAAGATACGACGCCGTGATGGGTCCCGACATACTGTGTCCCTGCACGCAGAAACTCAATTTACTATAATACCCCCACCCCTACCCCCACCTGCCACAAGTGCACCTCTCCACATTCCATGTGTTTTTAATAATGGAAGCAAGATCGCATGGGAAATGAGTTTATTAAAACGGTATTTCTTCCTGCTGGTTTTATTTACACAAAAATGTTCTGAGGGCAGGACGAAAAATGGTTGGTTCAGAGAGATAACCAATCAGATTGCAGAGGAGCCGGGTCCAAGCAACTAGAGGAGGCGGGACCATGACTTCTGATTGGTTGGTCCTGCCTCCTGTAGTTGCATCGATGAGGACGGAAATCGTCGTCTCCGAAAATTATAAGTGGCACACTTAGCGGTTGTTCTTCACATGGGTTAAGATAAAAACAAAGTCAGAATTAAAAAGGTTAGTAATAGAATAGAATAGAATAGAATAGAATAGAATAGAATACTTCTTTAATGTCCATCAAATTTACATCATGTGATGCAGAACGAATTTATGTAAGTCTGGTCTTGGGCAGAACAGTTTCTGAGAGTTCTACAACTGATTCTAGACAGATTGCTTTTGTGTGTGACATCACACCACTCTATGTACAGGGATAGGTGCTTCTTAGGTTGGAAATTGTTCGCGGGGTATTTTGGGATCACCGAGGGAGGGGGTGAGGGCAGTAGATAAGGCAGTCTAAGCGTGATCTGAGATTCAGCCTCTCACGGGGGGGTACGTGTAATGAGGTCACTCCGCCTGGGTGCAGCACTGCAAAGCGAAGTTCTGGGAATAAGATCCAATCCATTGGTCAGAACATCCAAGCTGAATATAAACCCGGACAGCCACAATAACATTTCAAAAAGGTGAAGTGACAAATACACACTGAATGCAATTAAACTTGTGTCTCTTTTCTTCAGTCTATAAGGCAACAACTGCAGTGAAATATTAAAGTTTGTGATGGTACCTCTATCTCCAGGGATTTCCTCACCGCACTAAGTCTAAGATACCTTTGTTCTCGGTAATTACAACACGAGGTATCCAGTCACCAGACAAACAACAGGCATTATAATGAGCAATTTCAACATCTCCTTCACTTATAATAAGATAAAAGGTGTACATACCACAAAATGTGCAGTCCAAAGAGAACCCTGCAGCTTTCTCAGCTCTCTTTGATATTTAAAACTTAAATCAAGTTATATCAAAAAACGTGTAATGTGCAACTAAATTTATACAGTTATACGTTAAAAAGTTATACATTCATGGCGCATTAATGGGAAAAACCTTTTAAATGTAGATAATAATAATAATAATAATCATAATAATAATAATAATAATAATAATAATATGAAGAAGAAGAAGAATCCAACAGTAGATAAAACGCCTTGAGGATGACATTCAGCAAGGATCTATATGAAATGCTAAGATTTATGCAGAAGAGCAAGATCTTTGTACAAGTCCCTGACAAAAGGGTCTTATGACTGCAAACTTTTTGAGGTGCCCTCCCACTAAACTTCCAACTTACTTCTCATGCCTGGTCTAACATACAGCAGGTGGCCTCAGCTGCCATAAGGAGCTTCTCTGTGCAGAATCTGGAATCACCGCTATCTGCTCTGTGGCTGGTGTCTCTCCTGACTCCAGTCTTCAAATCTGAGTTCTTTAATGGATGTAATGAAAATCACTGGGAAAAGTAAAGCAGGTGTAAAGCAGCTGCACAAAAGTTAGCGAAGGCTTACTTACCCACGTCACTCATGCCTTCTACCAAGAGAGATAAGCCTTTAAAATAACATTAACAATTGTTAATCTGTGAGGCTACTGTGACTATCTGATTTGCTGTATCGATTTATAGATTTTTTGCTCTAATTAGGCAGCAGGACGGACAAGATGAGGCGTTAACAGACGCTTAAATGGGCCCAAGGAGACGACTGAAAATCTGACATTGATAAGCCAAATGAACATTGAAAATATAATTATCTTAATGGGCAATTACTAAGTTCATTACAAAGTGTAATTAAGTGGAGATTGATGAGCCTTAGATGCCATCTCGTGACTTCTGGTAACTTTTTTCCTTTTTTTATTTTTACTTTGAATCTCAGTGTGGAGGAGAGGATAAACACGGAAATCGTTCATCATCCAGGAAGACAGATTCTTGGATGAGCGATCGGTCCGGAGGAGGGATCAGATCCTGATAGCGCCAGAGGGCTGCTTCGTGTCTCGTTTTCGGAGGACAGATATCTGTAAGGGGTGGGGGAAAGGGGGGGGGTGGGGGAAAGGGGGGGGTGCGGCAGGCATGGGGTCGCCTAGTAGATATTTGTTGTGTGCACATGGATACGAGATGTGGCTCCATCACTGGCAAGAGACTTTTTAAATGTCAACGATGCTTTAACGCATCTGCTTCATTTCATTCATAGGGTAACATCAGTGTATTGGTACATTCTGCCAACCTCATATGCGATCTCTCATGCATGTATATGTACTTTAGTACTTTGAGATGGAGTATATTAAGTATGTATAATAGGGGGCGGTTTTGGCGTTAGGTATTGGGTATCCATATTGCATTCACCGGAGAATTAATAGCAGTGAGAAAGCCTTAGAGTGCTACTGGTCTTTTGTGTCTTTTAATTACAGGCATCAAAACTAAAAATTTTCCAGCCCCTGTTTTGTTTGTATTTCTAAGAGCACAAAATCCCACTTCACACAAGCACTAATTAGCCGTGATGAAAGGCAGCATTAGCAATTGTAATGGAGTGCGTCTCTGAAGTCGCGATCACGCCACGCTGCCACGTCGTCTTGGCCGAGCTTCAGTAACGTTGCTTCCGTATCCCATTTCCTGGCTGAAAAAACAAATCACTGCTTTGACCACAGTGTCCTTGAAAGAAAAAAAAATATATATATATATCATCATGTATCTCTTTTGTTTTTTTTTAGCCATGATTTTGTTTTGAAATATATACTTTTCGTTTAGGTTTTTTGTTGACGTCCGTAACCTGATTTTTTGAGAAGCGGGTTATAGATTATCTGGGTTACAAATGCAGGCCATTAGCTATGGCAGTGCGCATGGAAGAGGAAGGCAGATTCGACCCGTTTGCCTAATTGTGCAGTCCCTGTGGGATCGCTCTGAGTCATCTTCTACTCGTTTATTTATTTATTTGTTTTATTTATTTATTGGAGACAATGAACAAGCGAACATGCGTCAGTGGCTTCATATTTATTTCTGGGTTCTACATATGAGCTGACAGTTCAGTCCAAGCGTTACATTGCTGGTCTGTACGATATCGACATTTCTGGGATGTTGCAAATTGACTGATTGATTAATTGCCTCAATTAGCCAAACTTAATTTGGTTACACGATCAGGATAAGGTATTTGTGTTCCTTCCTGCACGTCGCACTGGAAAGGGTATCGGATGCGCATACCAACACAGAGCAAGGCTTTTTAAGGTCTCAAATGCTACAAATCGTGCCATATCATACTACCCAGATACTGTATCACAACGAGGAAAATCAGTAATGGGTCTGATTAGCGCCATGATAACTCTGAGATTAAGCTGTAAAATTACTTAAGAGAAAAACAAAAACCGCACCTTCCATCTCCTGGACATTTAGTAAACTTTCCGAGTTTGATCACCATTAAGGGTAATGTTTCTTCTGAAATTAGCTTTGCTAGCGGAAGACCGGCGTACAAGCTAGGCTTTTTATATACGCCTAGCAGCGTAAGTTTGAATGTTCCCCAGCTAATAGCTAAGATTTCACTTCGGTCCCCTGTGTATTTTAGACACTCTTCTGTTCAAAGGACGTCTTGGGAACATCTCATCCAGAACTGGACATTCTCTCGTTTTATTTTATGTATAAGTATTTTTAGCTCAGTTACCGTTGTCATTCTCCGGAGTGCAATTTGTGCTCAGCCATCAGTTAGGAGACCCTATGCAGCGATCCTGGAAGTTTGACTCCTTTGGTTATACTGTATATAAGCAGTTTTATCCTTCGTAGGATAATACAAAAACATGTCTGCCTTCACTCACTACTCCAGGATGTAGGTGAGGCATGGAGTAATTCATTGCCCACTGACGAATTTCAGTGCAAATGGAAGCATCTCACTTTAGAAAGATATTTGTGCTCAGGTATTTAAAACGGCTTGTCCTAAAATTGATGTTCACTACTGGTGGCAGATATTTGCAGTTGCCTGCTATGTTTATTTTTACAAAACACCTGTTTTTGAGTTCACTGGGTCTGTCTGATCATTTTAGCCAATGGACATATTTTTCCTATAATGATAAGGTGATCTGGGTTCCCCAGGGATATATATTCTCCCTCTTTGATTATCTTTTCTCGACAGTGTTGGAATACGGTAAATTAAAATGGCCAAAAATACCACTCTAAATACGGGAATAAACGTGGGAAAATACTGCACAGAGAAAATTAGTTCAAATTTATTTCCCTCCAACTATTACTGGAGCACCAGGTAGAATGTAATGAATGTAAAATAATGGGTTTTAATTCTGTCCACATGACTGCGTTAGGTAGTCAATTACGAGGTTTCTATTTACACAGTTATACAAAGAGAGATACTTAACATTGGGAATAAGATTGGTTTTGCTTGACTTGACCGAACACGAGATTTTGCAGTTTGAGTATTTTTTTATTTAATTATTGCCAGACTGCTTATTTTTTTTGTAAGTTGTAAAAACAGTTTGGATTTACTAACGAGGATGAATTGCAGGCAGATCCGTTACTAAATCCAATCAGCAGAGCACATGACGGTGAGCGCGAGCGACTCCGAATGCGCAAACGCAAATAACAGATGACCTCATTACCTGGTGCGAAAGGTACTTAAACTGGCAGCGTGCGGCGGGGCTCCCAGCGTAATTATCGACGTTAACACAAAGGCAGGGGAGCGTGACACCGTCAACGGGGCAAGGAGGACGAGCTCTCTGCTCCTTTCACGGATCTGTTAGGCTCCTCTCCCATAAGGCTTCACAGGAAGAGTGATTGCAGTTGTTCACCTTTACGCTCTCATCTGATTGGACAAGGTACTTTTCCATGTCTCAGAGTCAAGTGTTTGCGCAGTGTGAATGGCATAAAATAAGGTATATTTGCATTTATTTATTTCGCAGATGCTTTTGTCCAAAGCTGTACACAAGCGGATAAGTAAGTGGTGATCTTTGCTTCATGAATAAATGCATATATGAAATATACCTTACGTGCTAATTTAAGGACCTCAAGGTCTCAATTTTTAGTAAAACATATGAAAATAAATTAAATGCAGCTGTACCTAAAGCAGAGGCAAAAATCTAAGCTATCTAATGTAAATGAAAAATGAAATTTAAATCAGTGTTAAATATTAAAACCACATTTCCACCAGCATAAAATTACAATGATTGTTTCAGACCTAAGAGTGGAATAAAGGCCAGGAGAAAGCAGAGCTGTCAAATCCAGATAGTAAAAAAAAAATCATCTGATTCCGAATTGCTCTTTAATTAGGCTTAAGTTTTGATACATTTTTATTCTGCTTTTTATCTCTTCCAACTTACTTCTCGCAAAGAACTATAAATTCATTCAGACTCGATTAATCACGAGCTCAAGCTGAAGAATAACAAGCTAATCCCCCAAAACCAAGAAAATAAACTGTTATAGAAGAACAAATTGTGCAAAAATTTCACCAAGAATATTGATTCTTCTTTCTATATCTCTTGATATTCTCCCTCTCTCTCTCTCTTTCTCTCTCTCTCATGTGTCTTATAAGCGACGTGCCAATGATCTTCCCATAGGACCGGTGACTTTGTGAAAGGTCAGGGGTGAGTCTCTCAGGACGTGACTCATGTTCCGTCTGGAGAGACGGTAGCCCTCATTGCAGTCTGACACATCTGCCCCTGAACTTCTGAAGCTGTGGTGCTTCAGAAAACGCACAGAAAGGTCATCTGAAGGTTATATCATCCAACAGGGGCAGACTGGCAACAAAAAGCAGTCTGGGAATTGGGGGGGGGGGGGCGGGGCAGTCCTCTTGCTAAATTTTGCCACCAATCGTGGGGACCCTCTTGTTTTTTGTGTCAACCACTGAAATAAAGCATTGGCCAAGAGTGAAAAAAATTATAATCCATTATTCATTCCCTGCGATCGACCTGGAAACATGCCGAGATCGATGGGCAGGTTGGGCACCCCTAGTGTATAGCCTATATAATGGGAGGGGGGTTGGGGAAGAAAAAGCAGCCCTCACTAGATCAGCCCACTGGGAAAATTCCTGAAACCCCCATGGCCAGTTCGCCCCAGCCTTTTGAGTATGAAATCAGTTACCTCACACACAAAAAGTGACCAGTCAGGCAGGGAAGGCAAATCATACGAAAGAATTAATGGAATTGCTGAAGGCAACAATGCGGAGACATCTTCAAAAGGCAGCGGTGAGAATTACTCCACTTCTATAAGGAGGAAGCAAATGTCAGATGTCTGCAACTCCACGAAAGCCTACGTCCATTTAAGCAATACATTCATGAGGCAGGCTTCGGGGTCTCCCTGCAGCCCGGACCGAGCAGCAGGGTGACGGCCTCCGCATGGACTTCGCCGGGTTCCGCTGTCAACCTGCCCCTCAGGCCGTCTTATTAATCGGCTAACATTTCATCAAATGGCAGGTACGCTGCCATCCTGTACCAGGCAAGTGGCTTTGGTGGAATATCTGAATATGTTTATGGTTATGAAACTGCAAGAAGGTATGAGGAAGAACTGGGGAAGACCAGACAAACATACAGAGATGTTATTACTTATGTTCATGACACTAGAGGTGTCATTTCCATCCCTAAGTAAAACATCCACCGCCATCACAAACTGTTTTTATCTTTAATCTACATGCAATTGTCACACCATGCACACTGTTGCAGACCAAGGTCACCTGGAAGAGATATCTGCTTTCAATCTTGCAACTCCCTCTTACCAGGTTTAGAAAGCCCAGCCCCCACAACAACTCAGCTAACATCCACACTACATACAGCAAAGTCCTGGTATGAATTTGTTGAAAGTTGGTGGTAATTCACAATTTCTTAATCTCACTGCTGATTTCATACATGTTGGTATACTACTCAAGTCGTCAGAGTTATGTCCAAACGTTATGGTTCAACTGTAATCTGATTTCACAAGGGGATTTGGAGGTGATCATATATACACGGTATATATTTTTATATATATGTATATATGCATGTATATATCCTTCTAACGGTTTTCCACATCAGTGCATATATGTGGAGTCCCCATCAAACAGCCTACTGAAACAGTCTGTCATCCTCAGAAGAGTCTCTCGTCTGTTTTTTTGTTTGATAGCTTACAGCAGAGATTGAGTGGGCCACTGAAGATGTTTTCTTTTTTCTCTTCATCCAGTGATATGTCCAAAACACAAACCATCAAGGTAGAGATGGAGCTGGAACGAACTTCAGAAGTTATGTGGGAAGGTTTTATTAAGGCCATTTATTTACGCCGGGAGAATATGTGGTGGTTGGATCTTCTAGGATCTAGACATCATGTACAGTGGATATCAGGACACTTCACAAAGTCTTTTATTTACACTCTGTAAACCCAGTCCTCAGCAACCCCCAGACAGTCCACACTTTTGCTCCTACCGGGAGTTAGGAGGGAGCAAATATTTGGACTGTCTGGCAGGCATCTGGGAGGGAGCAAAAACATGGAGTGTCTGGGTGTCCCCAAGGAGCGGGTTGGGAAACACTTGTCTAGGATACAGTGCAGTGGAATCTCTAAAATAATCCAGTGTCACAATTAGACTACATCTTGGGTACAGGCCCTGGTTACTGAAGGCTACTGAAGGTCTAAAGCACTGAAGAGTCGCCACACTAATCACACCTGATAGAAATAACTTACGGAGAAAATTCAAGGCACTTAATCTTCTTAGTCTCCATAAAAATGTTGCTTGAGGGATCTAGCTGAAGCATTTAAATTCGTAAAAGAAATTAAAACAGTAAATCACAGAAACTATTTGCCTTCTTTAAATAGATCCACAGGACATATATTGATGTTGGTTGGGGGTCCAATTAGATATTGGAAGGAACTTCTGCATCCAAGACCAGCTACAGTTACTGATAGTAGTATCCATGTGTGCAAATATTTTTGATCACATTTCTGCCTATTAACAATGCAGTGTATGATTGGTCTAATTTCTAAATGTGTAAATACTTAGGGTCTGATCCAGAAGACAAGATGTATTACACCAGAACCTCTGGGGAGTACTGAGGCTGAGTGTCATGACTCGGAAAGGAGGGAGGTGAAGGCAAGCGTTGGGGAAAGTGGAAGGGGCTTTATTTCAACAAAACACAACACAAAAGGCAAAAGGAAACAGACCGCGAGGGGTCAAAACCAGGCTGGGAGAGCAGTGGGGAAACAGGGCACAGGGCAACCGGAGGGGTAGCAGAGTCAGTCAGCAGGCGCACACACACCACAATACAATGACTGGACAAGGGAGCTAAGGACTGGGAGGCACTATATACACCACAGATGAGGGAGCAGACGAGAGGCACCTGGGGATCATCCACATGAAGGCTGAAAGGAGAGGCAGGTTAAACGAGGAACAGGTGTGGCTCATTAGCGCCACACCACGGGGAACACGGGGGAAAAAGGCATGCGGGGCGTGACACTCAGCCATATTAGGACGGTGTTTTATTTACCTCTATTCTGCCTAAAAATTACACTGAGGTTTTTTATTCTTTTGTGCAGGAGAATTTTTAGGAAGTCAGTCCTAGTTACAAATGACATGTTCAGGACAGGACATTCCCAGACGGTACGAGACTCCTGAAACCTGGTAGCAAAGCAGGAGTTTAATATAACAGGGGTGACTCATGTAGAGCAGAGAAAGCCAAGCAGACATACAGTTATTTGTGACATTTAAAAACCCTACACAGTTCGCACCATGCCCTGGATGGCCTGCCTGTGAGAGCATGCACCTCTACATGGGCGCACCAGTATAAGGCTGAGCCGATTACCGAAAGCAGAAGCACTGCTCTAGATTTACAGTGTAAATAAACAGTACGCTTGAGTGCTTAAAAGTAACATTTTCACTTTCATTTGGTCTTTAATGTGAGAAACAATGCTCAATATCAGAACTACAGCTAGCAAACCATGACATTTACTGTATATGAAGCATATGATTTTAATTTTAGGTCGTGCTGAATATCCTTACAGTCCGAGGATAGGCTGTAAGCCGCACTTAACGTTACGTCCCACAGCCTTCAGTCCGGTATCTTATTCCACACGGTACATGACGACACTGGAAGTAATCCCATTTTTAAAATAGGACTATGTCCCAGCGCAAGTATGGCGAAACGCATGGGAGAAAAAAAATGCAGCCTTTAATAGTGGTGACACTGTGACATTACTGTAGCAAAGTTCAACACGGGAGGGGCTCATTATTCTGTTTGTACCCAGTTTTCCAATTCCCCGCCTGTTCGGACAGTCCCCGGTGTCTAGCGCGGCGGCGCTCGGACCGGCTCGGTGTAAATGCGACCTAACCGGCTCATCCGGTAAGATGGGACCAATTACTCCTCGTGCTGGTATCTCCGTACTGGCGGCGTCCCTCCATCCGCCCGTAAACCGCACGGAGTGCCAATGCATACGCTGCTGATCTCTATTCATTTTTATTAAACACGAAAAAGCTGTCTGCAAATGCCATTTCCCTGGTGCGACCTTCAGCAAGCTTCCTTCCTCATCGCTCACTGCCGCGTTGCTCACTCTAATGTAAAACTTAATGTATTTTATATAAAGCTCACTATTATTCTCAGCTTGCGGGAGCACATTTGTGTATGTGGACGAATTAATATAGAGATATGGAAATGTTTTCTTTCTCTTGCCTAAGCACTGCAGTGTGAATAATGTGTATACAAATTTATTCAAAAATGGCATTTCGCTGCGAATGAATTCTTTTTAGACCGCATTAATAAGAAGGAATTTTACCTGTAAATTTTATTTGTAGATCAATTTAATTTTCTGAACGTTGCGCTAATTAACGAACAAATTAGAAGATTGTGGCAATTAAAAAAAACTACTGTAAATACCGTAAGCTATATCAGTATTCTCGGATCCACATTTACATTCTTGTATTATAATAATAACTATTATTAGTTATGCCTATTCACACATAATGAATGTTAATGTCTTGGTGGTTTCACACAAAATAAGAAGCTGCCTAAACTGTATTATTTTCAAGTACAATTTAAAATGTATAGATATATGAAAACTGCTAGGCCTATTAGCATTTCATGTTGCTAATATACTAAAACCTTTTTTTAAATGATCGAGTTTTTCCATCAGAATGTCTTGGAAGCTTTTTGAAACCGCCCCCCATGACTACCACCTAGTAGTCATATCTTCATGTTTTGTAGAAGGTGGGGGCACACAAGGACAAACCCAGGTGAATGTTTTACGAATCCCGTTATTTTTCAAATGTGGTCTTTTATTTCCATTTAAGGGACAGAAAGACAGACCTCTTACAACCACGGCTTTCTGAACTGGGTTCCCTGCTCTGGAGATAAATCAGTATAATGGCCACAATACTTCACGGTTTCAGTCCTTTGACAAATTATTGACCCGTTCCGAATAACGAATGAAAGCGAGCCTTTCGGGTCAGACGTGCTGGGAAACTGAAACCAACCAATCAGGGCTTCTAAATGCAAGAATATAGTCTTAAAAGACCTTAAGGTTCAATAATGTGGAGTTATTCCCCTGATGTATTGCTTCGGGCGTAATTCACACCTGAGGTCGTGGCTGTTTCTGCACTTTTCAGATGGCGAGAGAAAGATTTATTGCATGGCGCCGAGCTCCAGATTACGTTCGAAAACGAGCTAAACAGCCCGGAAAGCCACACACACCATTGAATACGAAGCCCAGCTGGAAAATGCAAATGAGGCACAAATTTCAGGAAATATATATGAATTGAAATTAAAAGGAGCATTAGAGGTTACTTTTGAAAGTGTGCCGCAGTGGCCGAGCCTCTGAGATAGATTGGGTCTGTCGGCCTCCGTGTCCAAAGTGAAAACTAAGTGATTTAAAGCGGCGGGATTCGATCGGCAGGGTAAATTAGCCAGAATGATTGGGCGAGCCACCCAAAAAGCCCTGTCAAGTCGCATCGACCGAACAGGCTCTGGGCTCCCCCCACCCGTCCCTGTTCTGCCTGCCCTGCCCCACATCCTGGTTCCCCCTGGTTCGTTTTCAAATTTCCTCTAAAATTCGCCCATTGAGATAAGCGACTTGGCCCGCTGCCTAATACAATGTTAATCAAATGCGCCGGCATTTGAGCTCAAAAAGAGGCTCGACCTAAGTATAATTCACGGCCGTCTTCGGATAATTTGCTTTCCTGTCCGATCGGGTGTGAAAAGAGACCGCAGTTACACGGATATTAGCTGCGTTTTTTTCCCCCTCCCGCTTCTTTTTTAAACACAGTGTTACAGTCGACGTCCTTCTAGCGCTGTTATGGTATCAAATAGTTATTTTTCTTAAGCTGTAAATCTGTCACAGGAGTGGTCCTTCAGGCTGCAGAACAAGACGCAAAAGGTCATCTCGCTTCCTTTGTGCTCGTTCACGCTGTAAAGTTTACCAGCCCTGGGTGGTCACGGTATCTGCAGCGTCCTCTCGAGCGGACGTAGAGCTGACGGTCGCGACCCCAAACGCATCACCAGGAGGGCTCTAGCGGCCAGCGTTCGAAATCCAAAAGAAACTTGCCAACTGCACAGAGAGACAACGGGGAAGAAAATGTTCCCATATTGTAAGTAAATGTAAGAAGTAGTTCATTCCTTAAGTAGAGTTTTTTTTTTTGTCTCATAAACCCAGGTCAGTCTATGACCTGAAATGCAGTGTGTGCCTTTTCATGGTTTAAAGTAAGAAAAAGAGACAATCAAGCTAACAAGATTAATGACATTCTTCCCGCAAACAACAGATCCTCCTTTGCCCGGTAACAGACCGTCTTTCACCAGCCCCGCGGTCCCTACATGTATCCCACGTGGTGAACATACTAAGGTAACAGACGGAGTGACAGCCTACCTGTAAATTACATCGCAAGCGTACACATTACCGCTCGCTTAAGTCCCGTTTTCCAAAGACGTCTCCAACATGCATAATTAACGCCCAGCAAATCAGTGGGAATTACGTCACAGTGTGCACGTTGTTCAAAGGGCACGAGGTTTTTATGTTTCCGTATATGGTTCATATAGAATAAAGATTGATTGATTGATCCTCATAGGGCGCTTTTTGCTTCTCTTACCTTGTTCTTCTTGAGGGATTCAGACACACACATACAGGTGTGAGATAAGCTCAGTCAGCGCCCCTGGAACAGCTGGACTTAAGGGCTATGATATGATTACCCCACTGGCTATGGGATTTAAACCCAAAGGTTTCCTAACTAAATGAGCTACAGACAACCACTTATGCAGTGGATATGAATGAACTATTTGCATCCTGTCATTGCAGGTGGAACAACAGCAAAAACGCCTAAGAAATGCTCACTGCGCCACCAACCAGGCCCACAGTGGCATTGCTGGCTGTTGCTGGGTAGGAAGCTGTGTTCTTCCTGAGCTGTGCCGAGCCTCCGGAGCCCCCAGGTAAATCAGCAGATGGATTTCACACTATTTCTCACACACCTTAGCTTCGCCGCCGTCCGCCTGTCACTCCCTCTGGAGCATGAGCACACTGTCCTGGGTATTGTGAGGCCACTGGCTCCCCATCCACCTGGCGGTTCTCCATCAGCTCAGTTGAGTCCCCCCCTGTGCCCCTCTCCTTTCCTGCTGTAAACAGGGGGGGGGGGGGGGGGTCCTTGGCTCTCTATTACTGGTGGCTTTGCAGGAACATGGTGTGAATCACATTCACTCCCTGTGCTCCTCTTCCGACCGGTGTCCTCTTCTAGCCGTGTCATGTGGGAGAACGAGGCCTCTTCCTGCTCTGAGATCCTCCTCAAATGTGACCGACTTAGATTCGGTGCCGGGTGTGAATGCGGACATAGATGGAACCCGTCCCGATCTCCTTAACAGGGCTTAGATGTCGGGAGTGCACTGCCCAATCAAAGTCAAGGTTTACCTGCTGTGTCTGCTCCACAGGAAGCATTGTGAAGGAGTTTGCTACTCGGTTCCGTGGATCAAAATCACTCTCAGAATCAAAGACCCCATAATCTGAGCTCTATTGGCTTTGTTTGTTAACAGTTTTCATTGTGGATTATAATGTTTGCATGATTCTGCTCCAAGAACCACATCATTCACAAGGCGAAGACGTGCCTTCCAGATGAATAGCTGTCTTCTTTCACATTGTGATTGTTAGCGAGCACGGGTTAGTGTGTTGTCCTGACTTCCTGTCTATGATGTACGATTCGCTGTGCATTGTGGGAGAGGCTCTAGTTTGTCACTATCAGGATTCATGGAGAGATATTTTTTGCCTCAAGGGAGTTGTACTTGCACAAAAATGTTCAGAGGGCAGAACAGGTGGGTTCGAGCAACTAGAGGAAACGGGACCAACCAATCAGATGTCTGATCCTGCCTTCTCTACAATCTCATTGGTTATCTCTCTGAACTAATCATTTTTCGTTCTGCCCTCAGAACATTTTTGTGTAAGTAAAACTCCCACAAGCATCTTTTTGAAGATTGATGGATAGGTAAGTTTAAGAATTTCTTCATGTTTTTTGGATTTGCTCTGCAGTTTATTGATTTCACACTGAAATAGCTGAACTTCCACATTTGATTTTCAGTTAAATTTTATTTTATAAAAAGGCACTGATGATTAAAAAAAAAAAAAAGACAGTGAATCTTGTCACGCAACGTGGTCGGTGGACGGGCAGAAAGGCGACAGGAGCCAGTCAGACGGGCAAACGGGGTTTAATAGGAGTAAACAGGGCGGACGACTACAGACAGGGCAACACAACAATGCTAACGTCAATGACAGATCTGACAGGACTGGACTCGGACGCGGACTAAGTACACAGGACAGGTTGGAATTAACTAGACATAGGTGGGAACAATCAGGAGTCGACATGAGGTAATGAGGGGGCGTGGCACACACGAGGATCGTTCGGAGCTGATCGTGACAAATCTGATGTTCCCAAAAGAGACGCCTTAAGGAGTCAGTCTGCCTGTAATTCCAGCCTTCCTTTGGCACTCTCCTTCCCTCAGCCACGGAAACAAGGTGTTCCTCTTAAATTTGGGCACTTACCAAAGCCGTCCACCCTCCTCACCCCCCTAGCTAAGCCCGGCCCCCAGCCCTAACTCCGCTCCTCTCATTTCCCTTCACAAGGGCACAGTCTAATTAGCACAATCTTTCCTTGGGCCGGATGTGATGCTAACGGTTGTTAAAATGATGTACGGTGGAGAGGAGTCTGAAATGATAAGCACTGCTTCCTGTATCTCCTTCGGTGCTATAGTAAGAGTTTCAGCCATTAAGGACAGCAGATGCCTCATTAATAATTCGGGTAGTACGGTTCCTTCCTTTTCCCTGTTGAATTCCAAAAAAAGCCAAAGGTAGGAAATTAGCATGAAAGGCCAAGCGCAAACACGCCTTCCAGCATATGGCTTCTCCGTTCTGCCGCACCAAAGCTTCTTCTGTGCCTGGCACCGCGTCTTCACAATTTGGCCACGTTCGACGACAATGCATCCAAGTCCGCCATCATCCATTTGACGGCTCCTCCTTCATCGAAGCCCGAGGAGCGCTGAGAAAACTGGGAAACAGCTGTCTGTCTAGCCGGGAGTAGCCTACTGTTGGTGCCAGCTTTTTGGGCTCTGTGACAGCGTGCTCGCCATGTTCTACAGACAAACCCGGCAAACAGAGACCAGGTCTTTTTCAATCTGACACAACCGAGGTCTCTGTCATCCATCAGATAGCTGGCGGGGTTTCCCAGCCCCGTGGGCTGCAGGTCGGCCAGGGCATGGTGAATCCAAACGCTGGAGTGACCTATGGCTGCCAGGCATCTGAACTGTCCAATCCCAGTGTGATTCCCAGCACTTTCCAAAGACAGGTGTGGGGGACACCAAGGACGAAGATCCACACAACACTGATCAGAGAGCTACAGAAACACCAAAGGTGCTAATCTGAGAGAGCAGCGTCACGAGTCAGGTTCTGCATGGCGTAAAAGGCTTCAGCATGCTTGCAGAAAGAATCCGTAAAGACAACATACTTAACTTCTGAGCATCTTCCCGAGGCAATTACCCAGGACGAGGGTTGTGAGCAGTGTTGTTCATTTGACGTCACTAGATTATTATCATCATTTAGGCCCTGCATTTGAAGCATCGAGGCAAACTCATGTGTCCACCCCCCCCATGACCACTAGCCTGCGCAGTATCCCTCAACTACGATGTAGAAAGTGCTGTTTGTGCCATGAGCTGGCCAGTCAGCTGACGGAGGGCCCCCCATTGGGCTGGGGAAGGTGAGATGGGCGCTTCAAGTGGGCAAAAGCAGTTCCTATTGACATTTCTCGTTAAGATAAAAGCTTCTCAATATATTACAAAATGGTCCTGCTTTGTCTCTCAGTTCCTCAGTGGTGTTTACATGGTAGAGTCTCACTTTGTTCTGCCATCTCCTTAGAGTGACTCACCATGCAGTCCTTGGCCATTCAGAGGTCTGTCCTTTCAGTTCAGTATAATATTTAGGCCGGTTAGAGGTTTCTTTAGGTTCAACAGGGAATTTCATCATGGTCAAGTGTCTTCAAGATATATGCACATAATAGCTAATGAACTTTTGCCCATAAATCAAATGGAAAATGGCCGGAATCAAGTCAAAAACATTTAGCTAGCTACCAAATAACCATATATGGTATAGTAACTTAAAATTATTAACCTCAAATGATGCAATTTCTGCGATGGGTTGGCGCCCCATCCTTGGTTGTTCCCTGCCTTGCGCCTATAGGGTCTGGGATCGGCTCCGGATCCTCCGCGAACCTGAATAGGACAAGTGGTTTCAGAAAATGGATGGATGGATGGATGGATGGATGGATGATGCAATATTGAGCTCATTTTCCCACAGTTGTTAATCAAAGTGACTTGCCATCTGACTTACATCTTCCCCAGCCTGTCAAGTAAGCGCAGATGGTAATTAAACTTCAGTGGCACATCTTTCATGACATGCCAAAGTGTCGGTGACGGGAGCAAATCCCTTCTGATTCAAGCTGCGCCCACACTGAACATGCCTGGGATATGTTTGCTGGGAGGCCTCAAGGCTGGTCAATGCTGTCAAGCCGCAACGAGTGAGATTGCCTTTCCCCTTGACTTAACGGCTGGCCGTGTCATCATTTGGGTCCGGTGGGCTGTTGCCATGGACACGGGCGACGTCTCTAAAGCATGAGGGCCGAGGGTTGGAGAACAGGCCGCGGAACTCGCACCAGCTTCGATTTCGCTCACCTTCCAGCCCCTCCCCCTTGATGGACAATGGTACTTAATTGTGACGAGCGACAGTATTTGCCTCCAGAGTCCCCAGAGCGCTGGCCCTGCAAATGAGGTGTGAGGGGCTCTGGAAAATATCTAAGTCTGATGAGCTGACTCCCATGCATGCTGAACAGCCAGGTGCCTCAGAGCAGTCAGCGACGAAGCCTGGCCGAGTGAACACGTGACCGAGAGCACACCGCCATCTGTTTGCATTCCATCATGTCATTTACACGCCAAAACAAGGGGGGGGGGACAGACGACACACTTGGACAATATTAAGGATAATATTTGATCCTTCTCCCTCCCACTAAGTTTGCTTATTTTTTAACACCTCATGCAAATTTGCATATTATAATTAACACTAATTATAATGCTTGTTAGGATGCAGGTACGGAGAGGTTAGGGCCGTGTGCTGTTTCCTGTCCATGATGAGAGCGGCCACTACTTTCCAAAGCCTGACGAAGGAAATGCACCTCGCCTCATAATTGAATGTAAATTTGACAAAGTGACAACAGGAACTCAGCCAGGGTGAAATCAAATTCGGGGCTAGCAAAGAAAGCATGCTGCTTATTAATCTCCGTTTGCGTAATTATCAGTCTGGTTAGATATTAATTAACACTGCTAACTTGCTTGAATTTGCGGCAGGGTGATCAGATTATATGTGTGTTTGCCGTGATAACGACTCGATACACAAAAACAAGGCTTTGTGGGAAAAGCGTCATTTAATCCCCGGGTAAAGCTGGGAATGCACCGACGGGCTAGTGCCCTCACTCTCTAGCTGCTCTATAAACCATGAAAACACTTTTGCATCTATGTTTTTCTGGAGAGAGGCAGCTCCAAAGCCCAAAGAGCCTCGAGTCGTACAGATCTGCAGGCTGTTTTGTTCAGCAGAAGAATAAAGACGCCTTCAGTTTCACTTCGGTCTAAAATTGTCGAGCTGGGTAACGGAGATCTGGAGGAATTACATATTTTGAGGTCAAACAGCAGAGCAGTTCTTGGGAGCGGCAGAAGATTCTATGAGTTTATGCCAACGTCCCGCCTGATGTAGCGTTCAGTATAAATGGTTTCCCAGTGTTTGTAGATAACCAGTGAGTACATAATAAATCTCCAACTCCATTCATACTGGATGTTAATGTTACTGGAATTTCTCTTTCTCTTTTGAAAACTGCAGTCGACAGTCTTTGCAAACAGGCGCTATGGGGAAGTGATTTATATAAGACGTGGTACAAATATCCAGATTCCTGTTAAACAATGGTATTGCTTCAGATAATAAGGAAAAATGTGCACTCATTTGAGACCGTTTTCTATCGTGTTGTGTTTTTTCCACCGAGCGTCCTTATCTGTCACAGCATAAGGCATATCCAGATAAGGCATCATACCCAGACCGTCCTAATGTGCTCTGAAGCCCACCGGGGAAATCGGTGTCGCGAAAGCCACGGTGAAGCAGATGGTCGCCGTCGGTGTTTTCTAACACCCTCCCCCCCCCCCCCCCCACCTGAACCTGGTGCTTAAAGCCCAGCAAATGGCCGGTAAGAGAGACACCGATTCAGAGAAATGGCGGATCGTTGTGCTAATCTTTGCGAACCATCGATCCGTGCCATAGGAATTGATATCCGTCGGATGAGTGCACTGTTCAGTTTTTTTTTCCCAAACGACCTCAGAGAGAGGGTCACCTAGAGGAGACAGATCGGTTTGTCGCTATCAGGGCTGGTTTTTGATCCTCTCATTTGAACGTGTCCCCACCCGCCGTCGCCGGGGAGGGCCTGCTGTCGTTTCAGGCCTCTCCGACATCCTCCCTCTTCCGTCATCTGCTGGGTCGGGACCGGTTCCCCAGGCGTGGGGAGGTGTAGTTTACTCCCCTTCGCAGAGTGTGTCTTCTCATGCGCCTGTTGCATCACTCGCTGCTGCGACATCGCCGCTACTGCTCATGCCTTTCAACCTTGCTGCAATGCTGCTTCAGTCACTCAGCTCACCTTTTCTCGCGGTCTCGCTCCGCCGCACCCGTTTCATCAGCGGCGCTAAGTGCGTGGATGGTTCATTTTCTTTAATCCCAGCACTCTCGTCGAGTATCCGTTTCCTACGTACCTATTTTGCATTTAGAAAAAAAAATGCGTTCTAGGAAATCAGACTCCATTTTAGTGTGCATGCTGCACCATTGCATACTGTAGTCATTTTTTAAGTATGTTAACATTTTCTAAACATGACCTCTCAGGGTTCAGTACAATTAACCTGCATCTTTGTATACAGAACATTTTGTCCTAATTTAATATTTCTTGAAAACAGCCTTTGGCACTGGTTTTCTGTATGATGTTCCTTAATTAAAGGAACTGAATTTAATTCTCAGAAGACTTCAGACAGTTTGCCCGGAAAACAGCTGTAAAATAAATGCTTTTTCCAATGTTAGTACTTGCTAATCAAACTAGATTGTTCTAATAAGCTATTATTTTACTTTATAAAACCATCAGAAAATTATTTACCCTTCTGCCTATTTAACATTTTAGTACTGCAGAATAGGAGTTGCATTGTTAATAGTCATCACCTATGACGTATGATCTTATTAAATGAAAGCCATGTTCTTTTGCTTTTAAAAATTTCTTTTATATTTTTGCATCAGTCTTTGAACCAATCATGTGTCTTAGTTTTCTTTGTTCGTGTGGCATGTTCTTTTGAAGGATGTTTTGTTTATGAATTCTTTGACTTGGAAATAATGATTTTCTTGTTTATTTTCAGGGATTCTTTATGTTTGAAGTTTTCTCCATCTGCCTGTTTTTTCTTTTTAAATTTTGAGTAGCATCTGTGAATAGTCTTTTTTTACTCGATGAGCGATTTTACAATATGGCAGTGCATAAAGGCTGATCATAATTTTCCAAAAGAAAAGCAGCTTGGAAAAATCAATGGTTACATTGTTCCCTGGAAAACACTGTTTTTTTTTTTGTTTTTTTTGTAAGTGCCTGTTTTTTTCTCGCAGCGCCTAGCACACGAGTGTAAGCGCATGTTATCTCGTCTGTTTGATCGAGTGACCCCCCTCGCTGAGCTTTGGATCGGGGGGGGTGGGCAGGTCGAACAGGAGTGAGGGTGAATTTTGGCCTTGAGGGTGAATTCAGGATGTGGGAAAGCAAAGCCAACGGTGAAGCTCTTGAGAAAGATAAGCATAAAACAAGCCACGTCTAGGTCTAGGTCTAGGTCTAGGTCTTCTTTACAAAGGCCGAATACCTTTGCTGGTGTTTCTTACAAGCCGTGATGTATTGGATCAGACAGGGTGTTTCATTTGAGGAGGGGGGGGGAGGGCGGAGTTAGGGTTATTCATGTCTAAAGTGTTATTTTCACCATGTCACCAGTTATGTGCTCTCCCAATGGCCAGCTTTGGGGACCAGCAGGGTGCCTCATTGGAAACCTGCTTTGAAAAGCTCACATTTAACCTAGAGTATCTGCCATTTTCGACGACAGACGGGAATATTCTGTTCTTTAAATGTTTGCGGTCAGCATGCTTCAAGAAACATTAGAGAATGTTCTAGCACCATTTCTTCGAATAAGCCTTCCTCTGCTTTCCCCAATCACCTGGCCTGAAATACTTACACAAATACTGTGTGCCACCCCCCGCCTAATGAGAGCGACAACAAAAATCATTAGTCAAACCTGGCACCGTTGCCATGTCCAGCCTCTCCCTGGCAACCAGAAGAAGACCTCTCTAAAGATAAAAAAGAACTATGGACCGTATTTGGAGGAAATTGCAGAAATAGAATGGGACTGGAGGTGACTACTGGACCCAGAAACTGAGTCTGGCATGAGACAGTGAATTTATGCAAATATTTGAGTTGCGTGGACTGTAGAGGGATGCCCTCACATTCCTTAAGAGGGCTGGGTCATCTCTGTGTCCCAGCTATGAGAATTTAAAGGTTCTTCGCTTTGCAAGCATGGAAAAAATGTCCTACACCCACATCTATGAATCAGGTCAAAACCCAACATAAAGCATAATATGGCAAAAATTGTGCAAGATTGTTTTTTTTTTATATCACAATAACCAACTTATCCAGCGAGACATGGTTATAATTACATCGGCTAAAGGAATTACCAAAGAATAATGCAATTATCTGTAATTAAAAAGAAAGAAAAGCTCAGAAGGTAATAAGGTCTTAGCAATTTCGTTATGTATCCCTGTTGTAGCTGCAGGTAAAATATTGTATGTATTATGTTATGACCTACAAATCACAGTAATATGATTTATGACGTGTTATTATGGACACGTAAACTTAATTGTTAACCAGAATGCACCGGGGGAAAAGCTGAAAGAGAGAAGCGAAAGAAAATGAGTGTAAAGCTCAACGCTAAACTACGCTACCCTGAGGGAAAGGAAGATGACGCATCAGAAGGTAAAAGAAGCTGCTAAGTGTTTTATTAACAATTCAGACACATACAATCCACCGTGTGCATTTAAATTTGATGTCTGGCGAGATAATTGAGTTTCCCCTAAAAATGTGGAGCACAAATGTTTTCCCCCGCACACCTCGTTATTCACACCCCCCACCACCACAACCACCAATACGTGTCGTGCACTATTCTCGGGTGGTTCTAGAAATTTCCATGTCTCATTCACTCCCTTTTCCGGATCCATGCTGATTGCATGCATATGCATGATCACAAATTAAGCCCCTTGCTAGCGACGGAAAGTGAATAATAAAGGAAAAACACGCATAAACTCCACTCCCTTCATAACGTAATATTTGTAGTAATGAGTATGTGACTCACGATATTCAACATTTGGTCAGCAGAACAGGAAGCTAGTGTAATGCATGAGAGAAAAATGAGGAGTTCAACGAACCATCACGACCACATGATCGCCGCTTATGGCCTCATTGCCTAATTTATTCCCTAATAATATCTTTTCTTTGCAATAGGGAAAAAAGATTGCATTCATTCATATGCATGTACGTGTCTGAACAATTTTATTATCTTTGGTCTTTATTTCAGCCAGCCTGCTTTGAATCTTTGTTTCTTTGCCAAAGTCCACTTGCCATTTCCTGTAAATGACTTTGCTGAGACCCATAGGTATGGAGTGTGAAATTGGCCCTATTATAGTGCTCTAGGTTTTATCTATGAAAATATAATTCTCTCTGCTCAGCAATTATGTTGATAATTAGTCAATTTCGTGTTACAAGCCTCACTAGGATTATTGAACAGAGGACATATGACTGTATTGAGATCAATTGTCTATCAATTTCTGTTTCCAGGCATATTATTATTATTATTATATTCTGAAACAAGGTAGAATATGGAATTCTTCCATCCTCATGTTTAGGAATTAGTCACCCTGCAGAATCCTGGTGTTCAGAGGAAGCAGGGGCAGCTGTGAAGGCTTTCCTGATAGGATATCTTCTGCAGGTGACATAACTGCATGGTGTCTGCTTGAATGCCATTGGTTTGTAGAGGGTTGCCATAGCATGTGATATATTTTTTTTAGCTTGTTGTGGGTGGAGACTGACTTTGTTGTTTAGATCTCCAAAAATAAGCCAGTCTTTGATAGCATGCTTGTGTATGATTTCGGTGCCATCATGTTAATTTGGCCGGTCCTGGCGGGTCGTTTACCCGCAATAGCCTCATCACGCAGCGTGTACCAGAGCATGCCTCCCATCTGAGCTGCCTCATCTGCCGATTGTATATTTACAGCATGGACCCTAATTATACCCGTGTTAAAACAATTCCGCTGAAAAATCCTCAGGAGAAACACCAGACATAACCTTTCTCACGAAATTTCATCTGAAATTGCCCAGATGGTTAAAAAACAGAGAGTGAAACTGAAATATAAGTGAGCAGATGAGAATTATTAAGATTTCATATTGATATGTACAACTAGACAGAGACGGAGGCTGGTCTAAAACCCTACGGCGAATGTGTTTTTTTTTTTTTAGATCCAACAGCGTGTTCTGGGAGTTTTTCAAAGGCGATTTCTCACAAAGGGACAATGAGTCAAAGCAACAAGACTTGCCTTTGCGTTGAGTGACCTAATTTTTAGCTTGCAGAAAATAGAACATAAAAGTACTTTCTCTTCCTACTGCAAGATGGCATATGAAGCCCCCACCCCGCCCCCGACTGGCTCTTCGTGACACCAGCAGACGCATGTCTTCAGTGAGGGACCTGCCACTTAAACAGGTTTCTCATGCAAATGACCCAAGGGAAGAGAATGAATCAAAATAAGATTTGCCGTGGAATCAGTTGATGCTGGTTGCAGTAAGGATCTGAAGAACAGAGGTGGCAATTTCAGGTCCAGAAAGTAAAAATCCAGACCATGATTTACTTTCAACCAACCAGTTGAGTACTCTGTGACTCTTTATGCTCAACTGGTTGGTTGAAAGCAAATCATGGATCTGGATTTGTACTTTCTGGACCTGAAATTGCCACCTCTGCTGAAGAACATCCGACTTGCTCACACCTCACACTTACGAATGGACAGTAAATCAATTATATGAAAAATTCAGGTTCTATAGAATGGTTTGTAATAAAGAACTCAAGCGCTACTTGGTAACGTGAAAACATTGTGTGGCTTCAGCAGTTCGTCGGTTCATGGTACAGTACAATACCGTACATATTTATTATTAGTGTATAATAATAATAATAATAGTAATAAAATTAAAAATAAGACAGACTTAGGGAACAAATCTCTTTTGTAACCTTGGGACTGCCTGTAAATAGGTGTAGTGCAAGCATTTTTAAACAAAAGAGTTTTAAAGGAAAGAAGAAGAAGCCCCCTCCCCTGCCAAGATTGTTTCTCACCCCTCATCACCTCAGCACTCATTGCCACTGAAGCCCAAAGTGACGTCATGGTCGTCAAGGTTACCTGGATGGCTCGTCCTCCTCACCTGTTTCACACACAGGACATAAGGCGAGAGCTTCCAGGAAGAGCCGACAGAGCTGGGAAATCCATCCGGGCGTCCGAGTGGGAATGTCTGCGCATGAGGCGTAAGCGGTCCTGTGAGAGAGGTGCCCCATTCAGGGTTGGCCCCCTCCCTGCCAACGTACACGCTGAACATGCACCTGAAACACGATGGCTTGGCAGTGCTTATGACAGGTCAGCTGCTGTTCATGTTCAGTTGCCGGCAGCCAGCACCGAGGAGGGGGGCCATCCCGAGTCCCTGAGAGGGGACTGTGGTTTGTTTTCTAAGCGGCCTTCCCGTTGTCACCCTCAGACATGCAAAACTTGCTGTGTCGCGCAGAAACCAAATTTGACAGGATAAGGCTTTACAGTGTGAATTTGGTAGCTGCAGAAATGCTCCTCTGTCTTTTCTGAATATCTGCACATGCAGGTTAGGCCTCTGTGCCTGTGATTGGAAAGTCGGCAACTCAAATCCCATCCTCAGCGGGATACTCACATCTCCACGACTTCTGTTTAAGGACCTGGGTCTAGAAGGTCCTTGAGCAAGCCCCCCACCCCACAAATGCACCAGGGGTGTCAGATAAATAGCCTTAATAAAAACCACACAAATCCTAAGTATCTGTACTTGTGCAAATGCAACATTTCTTTGTTCATTTCACTAATGACAGCCTGATGTAGACAGCACAGTGACTTAGCCCCCAGGGGTGGGGGTGAATTTCCCGTGCTGACAGATTAGGTGTGTGCCCTCTGATGGCATCCCATCCATGCCCCCCCAGGCTTCCTGTGACCAGTTCCAAAGCAAGAGGAAGTTTGAATATTGAAGTTTCAATATCTTACACTTATTCCAGTGCTGTTATTAAAAGTATTGCGATTTAAAAATAATATAAAACGTTAGTGCACCCCTGCCCTAATACATTGTGTTTCCACCATTGAGAAAAGTGACTATATGTTTCTCATAACAATCTATCAATCTCTTATAGTAACTAGCAGGGAGGGGTTTTGGACCACTTCTCCACATGGAACCAGTTCAACTCTTTGACGCTTGAGGGCTTCTTTGAGTCTACAGCCAGCTTCAGGCACCCATCCACCTCAAAAGGTTTTAAGTCTCGCCTTCGCCTCAGCCAATCAACATCTCCATCTCTTCTCTCAGTCTGCTGTGGATTCACTTCAGAGTGCTGTCTCTTTGAGAGATCATATCTTTGGTTCAGTTTAGCGACAGAAGGTTTCACATTCTGGTCTCTGATACGTTTTGGAATTCATGGTAAGTGATATTCACCGGGGCCCTTAAGCAGAATAGTATGTCATAGAGAGTCACACATGTCCTTAATTAAACAGAAGGGTATGTAATAAAAAGTCACACAAGGTTTTTAAATGAAGGGTATGTGGTAGAGAGTCGCCCAGGTCCTTAAACAGAGGATTATGTGATAGAGAGTCACTCAAGGTCCTTAAAAAGAAGAGTATGTGATAGAGAGTCACCCAGGTCCTTAAACAGAAGAGTATGTGAT